GGCCAGTGGAGAGGAGACACAACCAACTAAGCAGCAGTTAGAAAAGTTCCTCAGTTTAGCATGGGATTGAAACCAAATAAACTGTTTCAATTGTCTCCATATATTCTTGCAGAAAGAACATATATAGTTTGATAGAGAACAAATCCATTTTTTTAAAGAATGTGCTGCTCTTAAATCCGAGATGATAAAAGTAATGGTCTGTCCTTGTTTATACATACATTTATGATTATTGCATAGTAACCCATGTAAAAGTCAGTAGGAAATAACAAAACATTAAAAAATCCAGAAGAGAAACTCAATCTTGCGATTTTTACTGTGACCTCCACAACGTGGGGGAAGCTTTTCAGGTGTCACTCAGCATGGAAGTTATTATCTTCCTGCAAAAAGCCAGATGATCTGCAGAACCCCTCCCAGTGCCCCAAATAGGAGAGACCATTCCCCGGTAGGAGGCAGCGGCTCCAGGCATTTTACCAAGACTCTATTGGAGGTGCCTGAGCGTCCTTAACCACCAGTCTTATATAAACCTGGAGCAGTAAATTAGGCAGAGCAGCTGTTAGAGCTATAAAAATCCAGGAGATGAAAGTTTTGCTTAAAATCCAAGCTCTGAGCAATTGCCATGAGAGACACTGAGGAGTCTCTGCAGTTAGACTAAAACAGGAAGTGACCATTTTGATTTGGATTATTATAGGACAAGGAAAAGCAAGAGATATGGAAAGGGTCTATAGACAGATAAAGTGGAGAATGAACAGGAAGTGGATTGGGGCATTTCTCAAAGCGACACTACACTGAGAGCTTTACTAGTTCCCTTGTGAGGAGGGCCCTGGGTTAATGCCACCACTCTTGTATGTCTTTGTAATTAGGAGTATGTTTGAATGCATGGAGTGTATGTGTATGTATCGGCTCAAGTGTTAATTCATGCACCACGTCTGATTTTTTAGAAGTAGCTGCCTGAAGCCCAGGGTCAATAAGGAATCAAAGTCTGAGTCTACACTCCAAAAATGATACTGTGAGCTGGGCACAGTGGCTCACACCTGTAATCCCAGCACATTGGGAGGCAGAGGCAAGAGGATCACTTGAGCTCAGGAGTTTGAGACCAGCCCGGGCAACATAAACCTTGTCTCTACTAAAAAGAAAAAATGTAATTATCTGGGTGTGGTGGCATGTGCCTGTAGTCTCAGCTACTCAGAAGGCTGAGGTAGGAGGACTGTGTGAGCCCAGGAGATGGAGGCTGCAGTGAGGGGGAGCATGCCACTGTACTCCAGCTTGGGTGACACAGTGAGACCTTGTCTCAAAAAAAAAAAAAAAAAAAAAGATTTTGATCTGCCTTGGATGGAGAGAGGTATGCCTTAGATGCAGAGGGGGAGATGAGTAGACCCAGTGACAAAACCTAGATCTTAACTGTTAAGGAAATTATAGATGCTTCAATTTCAATGCTGGTATGTGTGGTCATTCTCAGTGAGTCCTTTTTCCCCCCTATTATAAAGCTCTAAGTCCAAGGAGCTTTAAGGTATTGTTCAAGATTGTTATCTGAGACAGCTAGACCCTTGAAAACAATTACTATTAAAATACCGGGGCTAAGAAAGTACACAGATGACAAGCAACATCCCTTATAGTATATTCCAAGCAGTTTCTGAGCGTGCCACAGCTGGGGAAGAAAATCACTGTGTGGCTCACAATCTCAGAGACAAAGAGGACCCCATTACCCAGCAGGGCAGTGATCAAAAGCAATCCATGAAATACTAACTAAAGATACATAATAAATACATTCCTGGAAGGCTAACTCGTGGCTATTATCTCTTTTGGATTCCCAGCTTGCTTTGAAGACCAAGGAATGCTTGATTGCAGTTCATTTGAGCAGAAAAATGGGTTCTTAAGTTAAAGATAAAGAAGGAAGAGAGGCTATACACACTCAAGATGGTCTGACAGATTGAGGGCTGTGTCTGAGAGCAGGGCATCATCACCCAAGGAGAAACACCAAGACAACAAAATTTCTGGACTTTATTCAAACCAGCTGCCTTGCTTTGGGGCTGGACTCTTCTTGCTCGTGGCTAGTTTGATATTTAATCAAATTTTGGATTTTCATTTTTATTGCCTAGTGGAATAGGACACAGTTTAAGAACCTAAGTATTCATTACACTCGGCTTGTCACACACTCAGAATCTGGTCTCCTTTGGAATATACTGTAAGAGACATTGCTTATCACCAGTGCATTTTCTTGGCCCTGGCATTTAAACATGTTACATTAAATATTATACTAAATTTAATGAATTACATGAAATACAACCACAACAGTACTAATAGCTAAAATCTGGATGTCAG